CCCAGGCTGCCGCCCGGGCCAGCCTCTCAGGGTGCATGGGGCAGAGGGCCACCCGGGGCAGAGACAGGGAGGTCCTGTGTGGGCGGTCCTGTGTGGCACCTGCCCCTCTCGGAGCCTCAGTGTAAGTCCATGAGACAGGAATAACATTGTGTCCTCACAGGCTGCTGAGAGTACACGAGAAGGGCACTCAGAAGTCTGCACCTGCTCTCGGGGGCAATGGACCCTTCTCTGGGAGTCACCCCGAGGGAGAGGCTGGTGACTGCCTGAGGGACTCCCTGGCCCAGGCGGTCAGGATTCAGCAGCCTCAGCCTGTCTGCCCTGAGCGCAGGCAGGTCCTGGCCCGGCCGCTTCTGTAACCGGCAAGCCGCTCCTCCGAGCCTGCTGCTGGCCATCACGGTAACGCCCTCCGCGGAGGCTGGCACTCTCCCTGCAGCAGTGTGATGGCATCAGCCCGGGCAGCCCCGCCAGTGGGCACAGGGGACGAGGGGACACACGGCTGCAGAGGTCCAGGCACGAGAGGCCACAGCCAACCTCAGACCAAGGAGACGGGCACCCGAGAAGGAACACGGCTCCTGGTGGGAGGAGGCCCTTGTCCGAGCCACAGACCTGAGGGATGGCTGTCCCCTCCGACCTCACGCCTGCCCGCTGGGAAGGAACACTCACCCGGGGATGCCACCGGCCTCCATCTTGTTGGCCACAGTGACATCGGTAGACCACACGTCATACTGCCAGCGCTTCTGGCCCAGGACGCCCCCCAGCACAGTGCCCGTGTGCACCCCCACACGCATGTCCACCCCGGTCTTCGTCTTCTCCCGCACATACCTGCCAGGGACACAGAAAGGAGGGTCAGGGGAAGCCGCAGCCAGGTGCCGGCCCCCTCACCCCCTCGCCCTACAGGAGGGATCCCACATGCGTTTTCCTCCTCTGGGCCAAGTGGCCAACTGGGTGCCCCCCAGCTTTCTGTCTGCCTTTGAGCTGAGCGGGCAGAAGGACTGCCCCCAGCCTGGTCCTGAGGGACCTCCAGTTGTATAACATGGCTACGTCCCACGTAACATCGCTACATCCCACATATCATCGCTATATCCCGCATGTCACTGCTACGTCCCACGTAACATCGCTACATCCCGCACTACATGCCTGAGCAGACTCCTCCGGGGCCTGGGGGCTTCTGGGCCACCACGACAGACCTGCTCCTCCCACGGGCCCAGGCGCCCCCTCCCTGCAGCGGCACCCACTTACGAGATGGCCTCCACCATGGCGAGCCCCATGAGGATGGAGCAGACGGCGTGGTCCTCCCGGTAGTCAGGCAGGCCGCAGATGCAGTAGTAACAGTCGCCCAGGATCTTAATCCGCAGCTGGTGGTATTTCTGAAAGGGCAGGGCGCGGGCTGTGGCGGGAGGAGTGACAAAGCAGAGGAGGGAAGGAGGGAGGGACCCACGGAGCCGGCTCAGACCGCGAGGGGACTCACGGCCGCCAGCTTGTCGAAGCGGGCAAAGAGCTCGTTGAGCAGCTTCACGAGCTCCTGGGCGCTGCAGGTGGAAGACAGCTGGGTGAAGCCCACGATGTCCGCGAAGAGGATGCTGCAGGGAGGAGGCACCGCGGTGAGGCCCCCGCCGCACCCCTGCCGCCACGCCAGCTCCTGCTCCCAACCCAGGGCAGCCAGGATCCCGGGGAAGCAGGTCCTTGCTCAAGCCCCAAAGCCGTGAGAACCTGGGGCTTTGAGGGTGAATTTGGGGCTCTGGCACTTAGCTTATCCTGTGGGCTTCCCTCTAGGGGCCCCAGGAGGAAGGCAGGAGCCCAGCGCTGGCCCTGAATGCTGGGTGGCCTCACAGATGCCACTTCCTGGCTCTGGGTGATGCTGGTACAGCAACGGGGCTGGACCACAGAGCCCAAAGCACGTTTCAGCCCCGATGCCCGTCAGCAAGGCTGCTCACACTGGGGCTCACACTGTGGGGAAGGCTCTGCTTCTAGTCCCAGGGGTGACCTTAACCCTCGGCGCTCAGCTGACCCCACAGGGCCCACCCCGTCCTGCTCTCGGAGCCCGTGCGGGGCCGGCGCACCTGACATTCTCATGGCGGTACATGTACATGGTGTTGAACTGCTGCTGGTCCTTCTGGCTCTCGTCCTTCTTCATGTCCTTTAGCATCTCGTCAGCCACATGCTTGGGCAGGATGGACAGCATCAGGTTCTCCTGTGGGCACAGGGAGGGCAGTGAGTGGGGACCTCGGGGTCTCACTGGTGCCCGTCCAGGAGCAGCTCAACTACTTCCGGGAAGAAACACCCGATTCCTAACAGGGTAGGGGCAAGGACAGAGGAGGGTGACTGGTTGGGATACGATTGCAGGCATCCTACATGAGATGACAGTGGCACAGACAGGGATGGTAGCTGTGGGCGGTTGGAGCTCTACCTTTCAAGAAATGCCAACAGAACTTGCTCTGGGTGGTAAAGAGAGGGGTCAAGGCCCTGCCTTCTTGGCTCTGTGGATAGTGTCGCTCTGCCGGATGAAGGGTCCCCCAGTGACTGGTTCGATTCCAGTCAGGGACACATGCCCAGTTTGCGGGCTTGATCCCCAGTGGGGGGCGTGCAGGAGACGGCCAATCAATGATTCTCTCTTGTCATTGATGTTTCTATCTCTCCCTTTCCCTTCCTCTCTGAAATCAATAAAAATATATTTTTAAAAAAGGGGGTGGTCAAGAAGATCCTCAAAGCTTCTGGTGTGAGCAAGTTGAAAAAATGGAGCGGCCACTGGCAGGTGAGGAAGACTGAGAAGAGCGGCCATGACAGGTGGAAAGGCTGATGAAGAGGGCTTGAGTGTGGAGAGCAGGAGCGAGCGCGCGCCGTCGCCTGGGAACTCCGAGCTGCCTGCTCTGCACACGCCTGGAGATGCACCAGTGGCTGTGGCTGCGTGCGGGGCCGCTGACTGGGGCTGGGATCTAAGGTTGGGAGTTCTCAGAGGTGGCATTTCAGACAGTGAGATTGACAGGGTTGGTATAAGTGGGAGATGCCTGCTCACACTCTTCTCACTTCATTCCACTAAACCCTGGAGATTTCTGCGAAGGAACTGTGTTTGCTCCTGTGACTTCCCATGACCCTCCCACATCCTTCACGCACGCTCACGTCTCACTGACTGTAGAGCAGGCGGGGTGCTCTGAGCATCGCCTCGCCCGAGTCCATCTAAAGCTGGAGACCTACACAGCTGTGAGGCTCATCCTGCGCTCAGGACAGTCCTGCCGGCTGCTTCCTGCCCCACGCCCCCTAGCGGCTGACGGCGGCTGCGCAGCCACGGCGGGGAGAGAACCAGTCTCCAGCAGGACACTTAAATTCCCTGAGCCCTGTACCAAGTGCTGGCAGGCAGGGACGGCTGATAAAATACTGAAGAATGTCATATGGCAACGGGTCCTTCCTCTCATGAAGCGCTCCTAGAATCCAGAGCTGGGGAGAGCCTCCAAGGGTGGATATGAATGTGCGATTCTCAGACACTCACCTGGCTGACAGCCACATTAACAGTGTCCTGCCTTGGG